AACTGAAGCAGGAAGTTATCAGCACCAGCAGCAAGGCAGAACCACCCCAGTGCACCTCCCTGGCCTGGTCTGCTGATGGCCAGGTAAGTGGGTCTGTCCTCTCAGGTAACTTGGCCAACGACTTTTCTCCCTCATTCTGTTAGTGTATCTAGTCTGTCAAACACAAGAGCAGTGTCTTTGGCATTAAGTGAAATGACAGCATAAGCATAATGCCCTAATTTGCCATGCCAGTGAGTATGTTTCTGCATCAGAGGGGAGATTGATCTGGAGGGCAGTGACTATCAGCTTTCAGTTAATATCTTGATTAATCTGACCAGTTTTGAAATGTCTAAATCCTTATCACCAGCTGTTTCTTCCTCAAGGAATACATAACCACTTTTATAATCTGACTGTTTTTTTTTTCTTTTTGAGACAGAGTCTCACTTTCTTGCCAGGCTGGAGTGCAGTGGCATGATCCCAGCACATTGCAACCTCCATCTCCCAAGTTCAAGCAGTTCTCCTGCCTCAGCTTCCTGAGTAGTTGGGACTACAGGCGTGCACCACCACGCCCAGCTGATTTTTGTATTTTTTAGTAGAGGTGGGGCTTCACCACATTGGCCGGGATGGTCTTCATCTCTTGACCTTGTGATCTGCTCGCCTTGGCCTCCCAAAGTGCTGAGATTACAGGCGTTAGCCACTGTGCCCGGCCAAGAGGGGGGTTTCTTATAGTCACCCCAGCATGGTGGCACATGCCTTTGCGAGGCTGGGGTGGGAGGATCACTTGAACTGCAGGGGCTCAAGGTGAGCCAGGACTTCACCACTGCACTGGAGCCTGGACAACGGAGCAAGACCCTCTCAAAAAAGCCACTTGTGCTTAATGTAGTGAAACTGTAGAGTTTATGATGCCAACCTGACCTGTCATTGTCATTTCTCCCCTGCAGACTCTATTTGCTGGCTACACAGACAACCTGGTGCGAGTGTGGCAGGTGACCATCGGCACCCGCTAGAAGTTTGTGGAACAGCTTTACAAATTAAAGGAAAAAACTGGCTTTTTTGACTTTTAGAAGGTGTTTTTTGGCTTTATCCTATCTATATTGCTTACGCATGAAGTTTGCACTAGCAAGTTGGACACAAGGTATGGACTAAGTAAACGGCTTTGAAGGGGAAGGGGAGCTAAGTTCTCAGGATTGGGGTAGCATAAGGTGGGATATTTATGAGAAATCACAGCATTTTCCCTGAACCTAAACCCCATCAGGGTACTACCTATCAGGTGCAGATCATCAGGGCCTACCTTCAACCTGGGGAACCTTGAGGGAAAGGACTGATTATTTCAAGGTGGTTGCAGTCAATTTTTAGGAAAAGCAGACTCCTCACGTCCAACCCGATGCATAAGAATGCAACAAAGATGAATCCTCATTGCTCTAAAGACTTGAATATAATTCAGAAAACTTCTTAAGCTTGGCCTAGCAGTCTCTATCAACTTGGTCTTTGAGGAAAATCAAGAGGGTTTTTGTTGTGGGGTTTTTTTTTTGGCTGTTTTTTTTTTTTTTTTTTTTTTNTTTTTTTGAGACAAGAGTTTTGCTCTGTTGCCTAAGCTGGAGTGCAGTGGCATGATCTCAGCTCAGTACAGCCTCCTGAGTAGCTGGGGTTACAGGCGCACGTAACCACACCAGCTAACTTGTATATTTTTCAGTAGAGATGAGGTTTTGCCATGTTGGCCAGGCTGGTCCAGAACTTCCAGCCTCAAGTGATCTTGCCATCTTAGCCTCCCAAAGGGCTGGGATTATAGGCGTGAGCCACCACGCCCATCTGGGTTTTTAATTCTTACCAGAAAAACCTGCAGACTGATCACAACTTATTTATTCCTCATAATTACAGGTTAAAAGTTTTGGGGTGGTCAGAAAGCATTCATAAACATAACCATAAAGTTGGTCCTACTAAACATTTCCACTGCTGCTATAACCTGGCCCTCAAGAGGATAGATGTCTTGTGAAAGGCCAGAAGTCAGCTGTTAGACTACAATTAATTAGCTTCAGATAGAAAACTCAGGGATGGAATGGCTCAAAATACGGCTGAGACCCCACTGCCCTTGAAGTTTTCTCTGCAGTTGTGTGATGGCTACCCAACTGAAAGCCCACTTCACCCTTCACTCCCTACTGCCCTCAATCTATAGTGGTGGTGAGGCATTTCTGGCTTTGGTTTTTATGTTTGTGTATGTGTGTGCATGTATGTGTGTACTGTTCCCAAGACTTGGGCTTGTTAACTAGGGTATAGAGATTCTTAGGGGGAACCTCAGACCTACAGCTTCAAAGTAATGGTAGGGAAGAAGTTGCAAACATCTTGAAATGTTAGTAAATTAGATAGGATATTAAAATGGGGAGCAGGGTCTATCCCTGTTCATAGGTGATAACAGATGCAAAACATGCCTTTGTTCTGTGGCTTCTTGTTGGTGGGGTAGGGAAGGAAGAAATCCTCAGTCATATCCTCATCTAAAGGAGAGAAGCAAATAAACATTTTATTTCCATAGCACCCCTTCCCTTTTCCAAAAGAACATGAGTTCACCTCAGCCATCAAAGCAGAGGGCAAAAGCTGATAAGTGACAAGGCAAGGGGTTACTAGAAAAATAGATTATACCCAAGATTCTCCTCTTGGGGACCCAGACCCCTGTCTTCAGGCTTCCCCTCAGGGCTTGCCAAATGGAGGGAATGAAAGACATGGAAAGGGACTGGAAGAACAGCCAGGTCTGTTGAACAAAGGGGAAAGGAGCCTGGCACTGAACAGACTTGGGTGGGGGGTGAGGTGGCATAAGCTTTGTTCCTCAATTGAGTGCTGGAGAAGGAAAAGGGGAAGAAATAATTTATTGGGCGATGTAATGGTGCGTGGTTTCAATCATGGCGACCACTCCAGATCTCTCTCAAGTGAAGCTAAATTCTGGCCGGTCTATGGAGGTAGAAATTGAGGATGGAAGGAAAGTTTAGAATCCCTCCTCCCCAGAATAGACATTTATTACCCAGCTCTACCCTTTGGCCCAGTCTGCTTCCCCAAATGGCTTCCAAATCCCTCAGCTGAAATTTGCATCAGAAAATGGAACTGGAATGGGGACGTTGTCTCGCCCAAACCCTCCAGCCTCACAACTGATGTACAGGTTGAAGAGCATGGATGAGGAAAAGGAAGTTAAGGAATGAAATTGCAATTTCCCCTCATCCCCTACTCAAATTCAGGTCCCAGGGCTGGGCTAGGCAGACAGGGAGAGAAGACCAGGCAGCTGTTCTCGTTACCAGGGACCCATGCAGACCTGGTGAACAGACAGTAGGTGAGAGAAGGCTGAGCTGGAGGCCAGGAGGGTTCTTTAGGCTCCTAGAGGTAGAAGCAGGGGCCTGGGGTTAAGGGGGAGTGGGAAGCAATGCTAAACAGTGGGAAGAGCCTTTGAGCCCTCCAACTTATGGGCCACCCTCCTCCACCACCCGCCCCCCAAGTGCTGACCAGAGGGGCCCCTGCGGGTGGCAGGATGATCAAGGGCAGAGCTTGATGCGGGTGCCCTTGGAGAGCACCCGGAAGAAAGGAAAGACACGCTCGCCCAGGAATGCAGCCGAAAAGGTGTGCACATGGGCTAGAGTCTCTGCGTTGTAGAAGCCCAGGCGCCCAGCTTCATAGTCCAAGTACACGCCAAAGCGCCGTGGTTTCTCACTGGGGCTCAGCAACGTCTGTTCTGTTGAGCTCTGGGCCTGGTAGCGTTTGCCATTGGTGCCCACACACCACACTTCCCGCTGGAGCAGGGGCTGCTGGGGTAGGTGGAGCCGGCGACGGCGATGGTGATGGCGCGAGGAACTGGCATCCCCGCTGCCCATGGAGGACCCCCCAGGGCCAACCTTTTCCTTATGATGGGTTGATTCACGGGCAGCGCCCACCGCCCAGCCCCGCCGCCCGCCCACCTCTACCTCCCAGTAGTGCCGGCCAGAGCGGAAGCCCTGGGCCCCCAGTACGCAGCAGTCAGCTGAGAAGCGCTTGGGATGGTCAGCAACCTCCTGCCGCCGCTCTGCCAGGCGGACCCCCCGGCGATCAGGGGACAGCATCAGGGCCGGGTGAGCCGTGTCAGGGTCCAGCGTCAGGTCCACTTGGGAGCGGGGGAGGACAAATATGCCAGAGCTAGAACCACTGCTCCCCTATCAGCAGCCAACTCCACAGATTCAGCCTTTCCTGCCGCCTCCTCTTTCAATCCAACTCCCCATACCATTCCAGAGGCCAGCCTCAGATTTCCAACAGGTTCCATCTTGCTCCTCTTGTTCTCAGGATACCTGACAGGTCTTCCCCTAGCCCCAGCTCTTGCCACTCCACCCCACCCCCACCCACCAGGCCTGCCTGGACTAGGACTACCTGCTCATGGCTTGAAACCTCAACCTCTGAGGTTATATCCTGCTCCATCTCAACCCCCACAATTTCCCTGGGGCTCAACTTCCCTCAGGACCCAGTCTAGGGTCTACGAAGGGAAAGGCAAAGGAAGGTCGTGGAGGTGACCTCCCTACCTCTCGCAGCCTGACAGAACATCCGGCTCATTTTCCTCACGATGGCGTCTGTCAAGAAGTCATGGCTATGGGGTTGGCATGGGTCAGGGGACCAGACCTCTGGGGGCTGCAGCTGTACCTCTTCACACCTGGAGGAAGGGGACCGGGCAGGGGGTGGGACTATGATATTCCCAGAGGGAAGAACAAAAGCGGAGGGGAAGGAGAGGAGGGTCCAGGAGGTAGAAACTCGGGTCCTAGGGAAGGAAGGAGAGGAAAGGGATACCCGAGAGAGGCAGGGACAGAGGACCAGATTCCACTGGGTCACAAAGGGTAAAGAGTGGGAACACACCTATTGAAAGTCTCCTTGATGTCCTGGGAATAAGAGAAACAAAAAGAGGGACAGGGAGAAAGAAAGAAAGAGTGTCAGCTGCATAGGGACAGCTTTCTCCAATCTCTAGCCAGAAACAACCTGAGCAGGAAGGGAGAAGCAGCACCCTCATGGTCTCACATCATTTCAACCACCCCATGCCTCACCATACCTAACTCGTCTCTTCCTGCTGTGAGCCCAGGAATACTGTCCTTTCCATAATATGACTTGTTCACCTTTTTTGAGAAGTCATTGTCAAAAATTCTTTCCTCAACTGTCATTTAAATCTCTCCTACAACCAAATCTTTATGCTTTTCACTGGGTATGATCATCACACATACCACAATCGACATTATCTCTAGCTTTAAAAAATGTTTTTGGTCTTCAGGTTAAATCATTGTGGGTTCCTCCCAGTGAGAGGCAGCAGCTCTAGACAGGCGTTTGGTAAGCACTGCCTGACAGCCAACAAAGAATGCTAGGGGAACAAGGAGGGGACAGTGCTTACCTGGAGCAGCCGGAGACCCCCCTGCTGGCTCCGCTCCTGGGCCTCAGCCAGCAGGCGGCTGAGCTGGGCGGCCTGCTCTGCAAGGCGACTGGCTGTGGCTCCCGCACGTCCCAGCTGGGCTTCATGCATCTCTCGGAGACGCCGTTCCAGCCCTGCCTGCTCTTCAGCCAGAAACCGTGTCAGCCGCCCAAACTCTGAGGCCACTGCTGCTAGCTCTGACTTCATCTGGCTCTGGAATGGTGCAAAGGGGATGGTAGATACCACCTCAACACATAGGAAGATAACTTCCAGTTTTACAACTACCACTTCTCACTGCAAGGCAAAAGAGCCCTATACTCCCCAGGTCGAAGAAAGTCCTAAAAAGAGGTTTATCTCCTACCAGCCTTACTTCTCAGCCTTACCAGATACCACCCCCTTGTTACCAGCACACTGGTCCCAAACTCACCAACCTCTGCCTGGAACACTCCTCTCCACGTAGTCTAACTAACTTGACTCATCTTTCAGGTCCAACCTTAAATATTCCAAGAGAAGCCTTCCCTCTTCTCTAGATCTAAATCGGGACCATCCCCACAAATATCACTATATTTCTTTGTGGCACACATAATACTGAAATGTTGGGCCGGGAGCAGTGGCTCATGCCTGTAATCCCAGCACTTTGGAAGACCAAGGCGGGCAGATCATGAGGTCAG